CTGCCTGTGCAAGGTCAGGGCCTGGAGCGAGAGTGGGGGGCTGTGCTTCCTCCTGGCACTGCCCTCACACCTGTCTCCCTCTGCCTCCTGACAGGGCGGGCAGGGGGCCTTGGGGAGGCAGTGAGAGGCCAGCTCAGAAGGGAGCGCCAGGGCGCCCACCATGCAGCCACTTTGCCAAGGCCTACGATCTGAGGCGAGCAGAGCAGGAGTGGGCAGGGCAGGCTGCCCCTCAGGCAGAAGCGCCTTCCTAGTTCCCTGGGTGTTTTCCTGACACATCAGCGTTGGGGCAGGCTCTGTCAAGATGAGAAGAGCAGAAGTAGGGTGGTGCTGGGCTTTCCGGGTCACCAGTGAACGCTCCACCTTTCATACCACTCCCAAACGACACGGTCTGCTACTCAAGGAGATACTGGCTCTCCAATGACAAAATGGTCCAGAGTCTCAGGGAGCCCTGTTTCCACCTCCTTAGATCCCCCTTGCCTGTAATGCTCACCAGACATCTCAGGCCAAGTGCTAAGTATTTTTAGATCAGCATTTTTGTAAAAGCTTGCTCTTAATTCATTCAAAAAAAATTGAAATGTAACTTTCTGCCAAATGTTTTCTAGGTTTTCCTTCTAAATTGTTGAGAACTGACTTCAGTGTTCAGCTTTTCCCCTCTAATATGTAATTTTAGACCCTGGGGGAGGCAGTATCCTAGCGATTTATAACAAGTAGACCATGCCTTTTCTGAAGACTGATACAGTATCTAAAAGAGAAAGACACCAAAATGCAGAGAATAAACAAATCCCTTCAGAGCAGAGCAGAGAGAAGAGCAGGAAGACATGGAGGGAGCAGGGCTCTGTCCCCCACTGGGCAGGTCCTCCAGGGCAGGGGCTCTAGAAACAGCTCACTCCCCGAAGTCTAGGACATGGGTCCTAGAATCTGCAGGTGTGAACTTGAAACAGTAATCCATTTGGGGCAATGACAGGCTAAAAATGGATCCCAACGGTCTTCTCAAAAGAACTGGTACCTGTGACCTCCCTGGCCCAGTCAGCCCAGCGAAACTGACTGGAATGCTCTGGAAAAGGAGCTGTGGTTACAGGGGGATACAGAGTTCTGGCTGTCAGGCTCCACTTGGGCTAAACAAAATCCAGATGGTCCCACCCAGGGGACTCCGCCGATATCCTTTTGCCCCCTCCTGGGCTTGAGCCGCTTACTAAGTGATTCAGCATTCAGAGGTTCTGTCAGCTAAAGAAACTCCTTTCTCCACCAAACTTGGCAGTTTGTGTCTGGTTATTACTCTTTTGCCATCACTGTCACAGCAATGAAAAGCTGGACAGAGAAACAGGTGACAATTAGGGGCTGCTCCCTGTCCCAGGCACACTGTTCATGCCTCAGACTGGAATGACGCCACCCAACAGACGACTGTCTGCACTCGCATCGGCTCTCACGAGTCACAGCTTCTGCCACCCAGTGAGCTGAGAGGCTGGGGCCCTTGGCTAGTTTGGCACTGATGGACTGGGGGATGTGGCATTTCTGGGTGTCCCCTGTGCCTTTTGATATGGGAATACATCAGCAGCAGCAGGGAGCTGTGCTAGTGCCGTGACCAAGTATCTCCAGCTAACTGAGCTGTCAAGGCTGGCGATCCCACTGGCTATGACATGCCCACCACCAGGCAGGGCTGGGAGGGGTAGACCTGGGGGAGCTCGAGGACATACAGTATTGTCAGGAGAGGAGGTAGTAACTAACAACTGGAACGAGAGTGGGGGAGACTGTGGGTCTGACATTAATGACCTAGCCCCACGGGTACTGGAAAGCTGTCGGTCAACTCTTCTATTTTCACAAATTCATCAAAAGAGGCCCCCATCTTCATAGTGTTCAAGTACAGACAAAATTGAGGTCACACCCCAAAACTGGGCCGGACACAGCTGGTGAGAATCCTGCAGCTTAAGGCTTTCCCTCCAACCGCCTGTCAACCTGACCCCAAGGCAGGGGCAGCGTGGGAGCTGCAGGGCCCCTGCCTGCCAGGGTGATAAACCAGCAAGGCAGTCTGCTGAAAGAAGAGGGAATGAGGAAGAAAGGGGGAAAGAGACAGAAAACCCTAAGGAGCCTCAGGCCCCACTGGCAGCTCTGGAACAAACTTGAAGGGAAAGCAGCTGGGGAGTGAGGGAGCTGTAGGTGGGGCCCAAATGAAAGTAAGTGACACTTGAAATGCTGTGTTTCCAACCATGACTGCCCAATTGGCCCTGAATGAACTGTCATGGGTGACAGGAGGGCCTGCTGGGCCCCACACTCCTCTTACCAGGACCAGATGACACCCAGCTGATGGGGAAGCAGCTCCTGACACCGAGTCCAGAAGCCACATTTCATTGGATTAAGAAGAATGCATAAAAACTCAACTAACCAAAATAAACATCTTCTCAGTGACAACCTGGTTGGATGCTGCGCTCTTGTGGTTAAGTGTCCTTTGGTGGTGCCAGGAGTGCGAGGCCACTGTGGGGGCAGGAGCCTTTTGTCCTTGGAGGAAGTCTAGAGGACTCACCCTCTCCTCCGACTACTCTTCCCTTCCTGGGGAAGAGGCAGAAGTGAAGCTGTGGCGGGGGGGGGGGGGGGGGGGGGGGGGGGGAGGGCGTCGGCAGCAGAGCGGGTGGAAGGGATCAGGGATCAGGGATTGGGCTGATGGGAGTCTGGTTGCAGGACTTGTTTTACAGCATAAGGAAATGGATACATAAATGCTCGAAAGTCCAACTTTGAGACTCTACAAACAGAATGGGGCAAACTCCCTCACTTCTAACCATTCCAGAAGAGACAAACACATTTTTTTTTTTCTTAAGCTACTGATTGGAACTGTCAACTATGGTTCCTGATCACTACAGACTGGCAAGGAAGTGCTAGACAGTTTCTATGATGTTTCACTCCTTCATGATTACACCGCAGTAAGGAAGCCAGGGGACAGTAACTGAAATACACAAGACAACACGCACTTGACAGTTCATGGCAGCAGCTCACATGGGACATGCCTGTGGGTGTTTCTGGAAGCGTAAGACTGCTGTCTCATTTGCTACTTTGATAAGGTACTTCTCAGTTGGACAGATTTAGATATAAGAGACATCTCTGTAAACACAGAAAAGGATATACCAATATGATGAAGATATGCAGCTAGATAAGGACTTCCTGAACAGAGGTTAAAAAGATGGGATCCCAAATGAAAACTGATCAATTAAAAACCCACAGCAAGCCCACGCCTCTAAGCCCCTACACCACACCTATGGACCAGATAGTGAAATGTGTGGTGTTCTGGCCCCACTGCATTAAGCAAAAGCAAAATATTTCCATTAGAAAAGAACTCCGAGGGAAAAGAGGGAGCAGAGAAGGGATGGGGACCTAGGTGCTGGTCCCAGCTCTGGTCTCGAGAGTTCTGCATCGGTACCGCTGCTGCCGTGCTGTATACTACGCTAGACTCTGGACTTCTAAGTGAGGTCAAGGTCGGGTGGCATGGAGCCCCTGTTGAGCTACTCGATGACTGGCAGGCCATAGGGTTCTCTGCGCTTTCCTCAGCTACCAAAGCCGGCCCAGCTCCTCCTGTCCACTTATCTAGAGTAGAAGGATGAAAAGGCTCATTGTTCTGGGTGGGAAATGCCTTTTGCTTTTTCTTACCAGGGAAGTAGGGGCTACCTAGGAGAGCAAGACCTTGCTGCTCTCTTGCTCTTCATAGACAGGCCAGGTCGGACTCAGTGGAGCCCAAGGCCTCCTTAGGGCTCAAAACAGGGTGGGGCTGGTACTGGCAGCAGGAAGACAAAGGGCAGGCAGAGTTCTAGGGACTGGAGCCGACAAGTGTGGTTGGGCACTGTGGCTGCCTGGAACAGAAGGAATGAACTAGGAGGAGGAAGGGAAAGAAGTGAAAGGATGAAATGAACAAAAGGCAGAAATGGAAGGGGAGAAACCAATCAGGAAGTCCTTATAAAATTGCAGCAAACACTTAGAGTTTCGGAGCTTCGTGGGAACCCTATGTGCTGAGCCCACTTTAAAACAAGCGCAGGTATATATACAAATCCAGGTAGTTCTCAACACCGTCACATCTGGTGGCTTGAGGGACCAAATGTCACCAAGTCAAGCCAGTTTGCTCTCAGAGCATCTGTTTGTTTTGAAGTGGGAACATGAAGATTCAATAGTGCAAATAATTCTAAGCTGTCCCTAAAGGAGTAGAATTGGAAAGTAACTGAAACATTTTCTTCTCCTCCCCCCTTGCCCCCTCCCCTGTCCACTAAGTCCCTAACTAGCAGTCACAGACTGCTCTGAGAGATTAGGAATCTCTCTCAGCCCACTGCGCTCGGCCTGGCCCGACCCGGGCCAGCCTGCCTGCACCTTGTCCTACTGCCTCCATGGCCTCTCTAGAGCCACCCACTGGAGGACGTCCCTTGAGAATGGACGATGCCACCTCACCCTGGGCCATCCTCTCCTGTGGTTTAGGCCAGTCTACACCCAGTAGTTCAAGGGATGACTCCCTCCTAGCCATGCCAGAGCTGGAACAGACAGGTACCACTTTCCTTTGATGTGAAGTGTCCTTGCCAGTTTTGTATTGGGGCTGGTGTGGGGCCTGACTTGAGCCACCACAGGTGGGATCGCACGGGCCATGGCCACTGGTCATATCCATCTTCTCTAAGCAATCCAACTGTCTCTCCTGCCTCACACCTCCCTGTCCCAACATGGTTGGGAGTGGGGGAGGTGGGGGGAGCTGGGGGAGCTGTAGACAGGGCACTGATGGCACCAAAAAAGGGAGTGTCCTCTCAACTGCTGTCTCTAACGACCACATGGGGAAAAGGTTTGGGCGGGAGGGGAGGTGCCTGGTCAACAGCTTGTCTGGTCAGTAGTATCTGCAGCAAGCCTTGTTGAAGGAGCCTAGTTTAGAAAAGTGCAAAGCTACTTCTGGCCCTGGTTAGGTCTTCAACCTGACTGTGCTTGTCGGTAAGAAAAACATCCCCAAAGCTCCAACTACTCCCACCCTGAAGCCACGAAACTCTAAGTTTACTGAAAGAAAAAAAAATATTTTTTATTTCAGTTAATCGGGAAGCTTTGTCAGAGCCCTACCCATAAGGAGAAGAGACAACAGCTGCCTTTATTCTTGTTGGTTTGCTTTGCAATCCGCTCTGCGTAAAGTCAGCTAACTCTCTCGGTCACGGGCGTCCGGCTGTCCACAGGCTCCTCTCTGTTTGGCCTTGGCATGGAGGATGAAACAATGTCTTTGCGCTCTCCCTCCCCTCGGTGTTTGTACTTTTCTGCGGCCGTGGCGGCGGTAGCGACCGCGGGCTGAGTCTTAGCTGGCTCCTTGGGGCAGCCGTCGCTCTCCAGCGAGCCTCCTCTGGGCATCTTCTCCTCTTTGCAGACGCTGCTGCTCAAGTCCTGGGGCTCAGGGGGGCTGGTGGGGTCCTCGGAGCTCTCGGGCTCAGGTGGGGGTGGGGGCAGGGGTGGGAGCAGTGGCATGGGGGCCTTTGGGGACTCTGAGTGGTGGTGATGGTGGTGGTGCTCCTTCTTGGGGGGCGAGGAGGCGCTGCTGCTGCGCCCCTTGGGGCTGCTCTCCTTGCTTTTCCGCCCGGGGCTCTTACAAGTCTTCAGTCCCTTCCCGCTCTTCTCACCGAGAGTGGACACCAGCAGAGGCTTCACCACTTCCTTGACCTCGATGCTGACCGTCTCCCGGGTCTTGCGCTTCTTGATGGGGAGTACGGTCTCCTGCACAGATCGGATAGAAGACTCCTTCACGGCTTTCTTTTTGGCCTCGGCGGCAGCGGCTGCCACCGCACTCCCAGGCTTTCGGCCCCGTTTCTTGGGAATGGCCTGAGGGTCGGCCTCGGCTTTTCGCTTCCTGCCGGGGCGTTTGATCACCATAACCTGGGTGGATGTGGTGGCCCCACCCCCCTCAGCCTTGCCCCCTGGCGAAGTTTGGAAAGGCATCTTGACGAGGAGCTTCCCAGGGCTTTTCTCCAGGACCCTTTTCACCTGCACACCCTCTGACACGGCCGCCTTGGGTCTCGTGGTGCCGCTCCCTTTGGGGCGTCCCCGGCCTCTGCCAGTTCCTGGAGCTTTGGGAGATTTGGGCTTCTTAGGTGGTTTCTGCTCTCGCCGGGAGGGGCTCCCTCTCCCAGTTACCGTGAAGTCAAAATCATTAGGGTCCAAGGATGTGTCGCCTACCTTTTCGAAGTATGCAATCAATTCCACTTTAGAGCGAAAGGCTTTTCCCTGGGGACTGTGAGGACAAACGGAAAGACACAAAAAACAATTAGAGGCTCCCCATGGCAATGTCAGAGATAGGGCAGAGCGGATGGTGGTGACAACACTCTGATAAATGTTACTATTGAACAAGAGTCACACTGCCTGGCTGCCCCTGAGGATCTGTCTATCACCAAAGCCACTCGCTCGTCTGCCTGCGCCTGACTCCCCAGGCCTCTCCAAAGTCCAGCAACCAAAGAGTCCGGCCTGGTACAGAGGGGCTGTTGGACTGAGGCTCATTCTGCTGCTTGGCGCCTGGGTGTGAGTCACCATCTGGAACATTCCTGGGCCTGAGTCACCATCTAGAACGTTCCTAATTCTGAACTCGGGTATGGTGCTCAGACTCTCTGGGATCAGTTTCAACAAGATAATCCTTTGCTCACTCTTCTCAGGGTTATGGAATTAAATGAGGCTATCTGCCAATGTCATGTGAAAACTGCTAACCTTTTTGGGATCATTTAAGGGGCACAACAGAAACATGCTTCTTCACTCCTCCTCAGAACCCCAGGCTCTGCAAGTTCCTCTACTTCTGCAGCTATTCCATCTCCAGATAAGAACTCGAGGCGCGGAGAGGATAGAAGACATCGACCTCTGCACACAGTCATTTCAAGCATACCTGGTCTTGGTGTTCACTGTTTATGGTCCCCCCGCCCCCACTGTGGGGTTAGGCACATACATTTTCCTGCTCCATGAGAGATCCCCGTCTCTGCCCTCCCTGCCCTGTAGAGACAGGAGTTGCTCTTACTTACTTAATCAAATACACATCATACTTCCCAGCAGAGCGGCCAGATTTCCTTTGCTTAAGCTTCCGTGTCCAGCCTTCAGGTAGGGTGGGGTCATCATACATAGGTCCCCGGTCACGGATGATGGAGCGCCGCTGTTTGGGGGAGGCAGAAGCTTCTGGCACGGCTGGGGCGGAGCCCGACCCTTCTGACGTCTCCGCTTTGCCTGCCTCTGCGGGCTCGGCAGAGTGGTGCGCTGATGGCTGCACGGGCTCATGCTTGCCCTCTTTGTCTTCTTTCTTATCTTTCTTCACCTTTTTGAACTTGAGGGGCTTGTCCTTGAGGCCCTGGAGATCCTGGTCTTCTGACTTTTCTTCCCTGAAGTGTTAAACAAGTATGTAAGTATCACAAAGAACATGCAAGTCTGAAGAACAGATGAGCAGAGGCAGGCTTGGACCCCCACCACATGCAAGGCCCCAGGCCATCATACACTCAGATCTTGATGTCCTTTCCCAGGACAACAGGGTCTCAGGCCAAGCTGGGACCCAAATATTTCTTTAGGAACTTGGGCCCTGGTGGTACTGGCCGGCGTGGCTGACCTGCACTGTGGCCACCTGCAAGTCTCACTCCTGGCATTGCAGAAGAATCGGAGCCCTTTCCTCTGAGTGGAAACACTGCGTGGCTCCTGAGCATCCCACCCCAGCATGAGTCGCACCTCAGGGGCCTCTGGGCTCGATGCCTGACAAGAGGCCTCTGAATGCTGGAAAGGGAGTCAAATGGGGGTCGGGGTCTCCTTTGTGAAGGCCGGGGCTTAGGCGTCTTTTTGGTTTTCTAGAACAAATGCTCAATGAGGCACACAGTAGTGTTAATGGAAAGCACAGGTTTGGAGGCAGCCAAATTGCACTCAAATCCTTTGCTACTTTCCAAACATGAACCCCGGCAAATGATCTCAGCCTTCTGTGCCTCCGTTTCCTTATCTTGACAATGGGTAAACCCATCTGGGCATCCTTACTGTGAGCATCATGGGCGAAAAGGCACAATGGCACTATATAAATAACGGCTAACTCAGGCCACAAGAAACTGCTGCCCAGGGTTCTGGGGTGATTAAGAGAAGTGCTCCCAGGTGGCGTAAGCCTTTTAACACAAGACGTTCCCTGACAAGGAATGGCCTCAGCCACAGCAGATGCAGAGGGAAGAGCAAGGAAAAAGGTGTGGTCCAGGCAGAGCCATGTGTCTCCTTCCTGCTGGTGCAGAAGAGTACCCTTCCTATTCTAGGGTGGGAGTCCTCCCCATTCTTTTCTGGTGACAGAAGCAGCTCACTTTTCTGCACATCACTTTGGCCTGTTAGGGTCTCTTCAGAAATGGCCACCGTGAGGCCTCAGGCCCCAGAATCAGTGTCTGGCCATGATGCTTCACTAACCTGTCTAGTATGCCACCATGAAACGTCCTAGGACTTTAGAGCCTCAGCAACAACAGGGGCAGCTTGGAAAAGAGCCTGACTACTCCTGCCCTCCGGGTTCTCAGCCCCACAACTCCCCTGTCCCACATGGTTCATCAGTGCTGGTCACCATCTTGTCTACACTGCACAGACTGTTCAGTGAGGGCACCATGGCACACACTGGCAAGCATCCTTGGGAAACCAGGACTCAAATGATGTAGGGAAGTTACTGAAGGTTGGTTAGCACTGGGACTCAGAAGCTACAAGGACATACCTCTCCAGAACCGTCAGGTCAGGTGTAGGGAGGCAAGAGCAGCTCCAATCTAGCAACAAGGTCTTAGAGTGAGGGAATGTCTTGTCCCCACTATAACTCACCCCTGAGTTCCTCCCAATCTTGTATCTTCCTCCAACAGTTTAGGGCCCAAGGTGTGGCTGCCGAGTCACTGCATATTAAGAGGCATCCTACAACCCACAGAGCAGTCTTTCTTGCTGTAAAGTGCGGGTCCCTAATCTGTTCCAGCACAGAGCTCTCAATGTGAAATGACAAAGAACACTGGGGAGCTAGGTGTGGCCTGTGGCCCATGCAAGATCAGCCTTTGAGAATGGCCCCCTAGGCAGTTCCCCATAAAGAAGGGAGAGAAGGGGAGCCACCGGCAGAGTGAGCCAAGAGAGCAGACAGACAGTAATCAGTACTTCTACACAATCCATCATGGCACTGCCTAATGCCACAGTTGTTCCTTGGAACTGGACGGTCCTGATGTCACAGAAAAACAGTGAACTACTGGGAAAGATCCGGCTTCTTTGAAACTCTCATTTGCATTCCCAAATACCCTAATCACGATGAGGTCAAAGTATAAACCTAAACATGACCTAAGGAATGCCTTCTAGAAATCTATGCTAAAGAGACACCTCCAAAAATCTCAAAGAACATATGCATGACATTATTTGCTACAGCATTATTTTTACCAGCCAAACGCTACAATCCCTCAGATCCCTATCACCAGGGCACTTATTGACTAAACTATGGTGCGTCCACACACTGGAGTACTGTCCAGCTCCAAAGGGACTAAACAAGAGCTCTAAACACTGTGATGGAGCTATTTCCAGGATCTGCTGTGAAGCAAAAGGAGCAAAGTACAAACATATCTACTGCATGATGCCTAGGTAAGAAAGTGGGATTAAGGAAGGACACACCAGGAACTAATGAAATTGGCTCCCTGCATGGGGCAGTGGGAACAAGGTGAGGGTACAGGCACAGGAGTGAGACCTAGCTCAATCAGTGTCATTCTGACTTCTGAATCATGTAAAAGTTTGTATTACCCCAAATAGAATTCAAAAAGTAACAAAACCTCATTACACTGAATGCAAATAGAAACAAATGAGCTTGGGCCAGGCATGGTGGCTTCAGCCTACAATCCCAGTATTCTGGGAGACTGAGCCTGAGTGACAGAGTGAGACCTTGTCTCCTTTTTTTTTTTTTTTTTTTTTTTTTTTTTTGAGACAGAGTCTTGCTCTGTTTCCTAGGCTGGAATGTAATGGCACGATCTCAGCTCACTGCAACCTCTGCCTCCCAGGTTCAAGTGATTCTCCTGCCTCAGCTTCCCGAGTAGCTGGGATTACAGGTGCCTGCCACCACACCCAGCTAATTTTTGTATTTTTGGTAGAGACAGGGTTTCACCATCTTGGCCAGGCTGGTCTTGAACTCACGACCTCGTAATCTACCCACCTTAGCCTCTCCCAAACTGCTGGGATTACAGGTGTGAACCATTGCGCCTAGGAAAACAAGTTTAATTCTATACCAAATTGTCAATACCACAGAGCAAATATTTATTTCAAGTAACTTTAGACTACATTGCTCTGGAAACCTACACTGGGACATATTCTAAGGCCAACAATGACACTCCAGGGGCAGTAAACCCACTGAATTGGCTCCTAGGAGAGACATGTGATTCTGGTTCTGGGGCGTCTTGTGCCAGAAAGCCCAGGGAGTGCAAGAGAAAAACAGGGAGAATCTGTGAGAGGCCTCTAGCTGTGGTCCAGGCGTGGCCTAGGGTGGGAGCAGTTGAGGATTTGGGGCTGGTCTAGGTGGTGAAGCAATAGAGTTTGCTGGTGGACTGGTGTGGGGGTGAGGGGCAGAGATGAGTCAGGGACCACTTCGAAAGCCTGGGAAGATGGTGGTGCCACTGAATGAGAAGGAAAAGGCTGAGGGGCAGGCCAGGCATGGTGGCTCACTCCTGTAATCCCAGCACTTTGGGAGGCCAAGGTAGATGGATCACTTGAGGTCAGGAGATCCAGACCAGCCTGGCCAACATGGCAAAACTCCATCTCTACTAAAAATACAAAAATTAGCTGGGCATGGGGGTGGGTGCCTGTAATCCCAGCTACTCGGCAGGCTGAGATAGGAGAATTACTTGAACCCAGGAGGTAGAAGTTGCAGTAAGCTGAGATCATGCCACTGCACTCTAGCCTGGGTGACAGAGTGAGACTCCATCTCAAAAAAGCCAACAAAACAAAACAAACAAAAACCCCAAACCATACCCCCCTCCTCATCCTCCCTCTAATCAGACCCCTACCACACACAATCTTGATTATGAGAACTAAATACCTAGTTCCTAAGTTCATACATTTTAAGAGTTGAAGTAACCTCAGAAAAACTACCTATTCAACCCTTCAGTTCACTGTGAGTCACAAGCATGCATGTCTGTCCAACTGCCTTCATCCTGGGCTAGACCCTGCTTCATCCTTCTACCTCCAAGGCTCACAGTTTGGAAGAGGGAACAAACAGGTAACAACAACATAGTTCCGGCTCCCTTGGCCTAAAGAAAGCTTGTTCCAGGGACAGTGGAAGCACAGGGATGTGCATAATTAGGAGTGGGTGGGCTGGAGGAGGAAGGCCTGAGCTGGGCTCTCAGGGCTGATGTGTTCCAGAGGTGGGCATGGAGGGCTTAGGGTATGCCAGGACAGATGGGAAGAGGTGACACTATCAACATGGTTATAGCTCCTACCTCATCACCAGTGTCACCAATGATGCCCACCCTGTGTGACCAGCAGCTCTGGGCCTAACCCCCTCCCACCTTTTCATTTGGAGAACTTTCAGGTTTATCTGGAGAACTTTCATCTTTCAGGTTCAGTTCAGATGGCACTTCTAGGCTGGGTGTAGTGGCTCAAGCCTGCAATCCCAGCACTCTGGGAGGCTGAGGTGGGTGGATAACTTGAGGCCAGGAGTTCAAGACCAGCCTGGCCAACATGGCAAAACTCTGTGTCTACTAAAAATACAAAACATCTGCCAGGTATGGTAGTATGTGCCTGTGGTTCCAGCTACTTGGGGGCCGAGGCATGAGAATTGCTTGAACCTGGGAGGCAGAGGCTGCAGTGAGCTGAGGTTGCGCCACTACACTGCAGACTGGGTGACAGAGCAATATTCCATCTCAAAAAAAAAAAAAAAAAAAAAAAAAAGGATGGCACTTCTGAGACACGTTCCCTGCGACACCTTCCCTGCTTCTGCCTCTCCTCTCCTCTCCTGCCTCCCTCCCTGCTCTATAAGGCAGAGCACCCAAGCCCCCAGTGTGCATGCCGACCCCCATCTCCCCACTCGATGCATGATGCCAGGCACAGGAGAAATCCTTACTCAATGCATGCTGGAGGAATAACCACAACATAGACAGGGCACTCCACGTGCTTCTTCTGATGGCTAGAGACCTTTGACCGTAAGTTTCTAGCAAGGAGAGACTAGCTTAGTGCTGAAAACAAGGTGGGCTCGGAATTGGTGAATAAACAAATGAGTTTGGGAAGTATCAGTAGTCTGTTGGACACTGGTGGCTTGGAGATGGCAGAAAATGAGGTGGAGGAAGTCACCAAGGAGATGACCCAGTGACAGTAGCATGGAGGATGGTTACACCAGGAGGATGGATCGCCTTCCAGCCATGTGGTAGCCAGGTAT